CTTTCTGTGATTAATTGATCAAGCCAGTTGTAAATATAATGGCATAATTCTATAACACTGAAATTAGCTGCAGCTTTGCAAGTATACAGGCCTGTGCGGATATTTTAAGTGACAGTATAATGAAATTGCCCTTCTTGAATGAAAATATTTTAAAGGCATGCGGACTTTTTTATTATATTTAATGAAAGAGGAATCACTGTTACATAAAAACCTACTGAAAAATCTAATTTAATATTCACCAAATAATCTATATGTATTAATATAGTAAATAGTGAGTAGAAAGAAAATTTAAAAGTGTGATTGCTCATCATTTTGTTAAGAAAACGTTATCTATCCCAAAACAATTTTTCAGAAAGCTACTTTGCTCAATAAACTAATATAGGCTATAACATCAATATCAGCTGCAAGTATTTGCCAGTAAATGACAGGATTATCATTGACAGTTAAGAGGGATGATAATTATCAAAGATAATATATATTGCTTTTTGAAATATAATGCACCTGCGCATACTATATAAACGAACTTAAATGCTGATTAGATTATGAAAGATACTTAGTTGTCCTTCATTAACGTATATGCAAGCACTGGCTTTGATGGCCAAAGCTTTTTCAATCATTTAAGGGAGAGGCAAAAGTAGCCTAACAGTCAAGGCATAAGGTTGTTAAAGTAAAAATCTATTTGTAGAATACTAATCCGTGGACATATATGCTGTAAAATCATGAATTCATCTCTTAATGCGTTCACACACATTTGCCACATTCAAGATAGGGTATTTATACTTCGCTCTGGGGCTTCTAGCGTTGGGCTTTATATATACTATATTGTCGCATTTTTAGCTCTATGCTCAATTACGTTGCTTACAGTTTTTCTTAATTTGACGGCCATCTTGACATTTCTGTCGTCAAAGCGTCTCAGAAATTCTGTTTGTTATTTTCCTATATTTTTGCAATCCATTATTGATCTCCTTTTTGGGACATCGATTATGGCTTTAACGTTCAGGCAATTTTTACACGCAGTTTCCATCGTAAAGGTCAACTGTACTTTGTTTTATGTGGAACGGATTATACATTATGTACTCATTGGCTGCTCAGTGTCTGTGTTATCTTGTATGAATATCGAAAGGTTTTTGGGCATCGTGTATCCTATGCACCATCGAACAAAAGTTACAAAGACCATGTTAGCAGCTTACGTTCTTATTGGTTGTTTTGTTTCGTTGTTGATGTGCACCATTTCCAATTTGATAGAATCCTTGTCATTATTACGAGATTTTTTCGGTTATGTTACTATCGTGCATTTCATTGGAACTGTTGTGGTGTATGTTAAGATCTATTTTGTGGCAAGAAAGTCAATTCCACGAGAAGGTGGTGGAAAAATGAGGAACAAAATTACGCCAATGCCTACCCAGGAAAATAATTCAACCAATGAAGCGAGTACGTCCCGGCAATTTACAACCAAAAGTTCCCCTAAACTTAACGAACAACGAAGCGATCGTGAAGAAGCGAATGAAAACTTTGTAATGAAAACGAATCTTATCGCAGTTAAAAGTCAAAAATCTGGCAACTTGAATAAGTTTGAAGATGAAAATCGGTCGCACCAACCTTCTTCTTCAAAATTAAATCCAAAATGCAAAAATGACGGAAAACGAAGCAGAGTTTCCAATCTTTTCTCTAAGAGTTCGACAATGGATGCCCTGAAACTGAGTGAACACAATTCGTTGCAAGTTGAAATATGCGCTCGCAAAAACTTATTACACAACATAAAATTAGCAAATTCATGTCGCTTGGTTGTTATATTTTCATTATTAAGTTTCTTTACACCGACTATTCTTGTAGGGCTTAGACCTATTGATTTAGGACAGCATTTTATTGAAGTTGTCGTTTCGTGTAATTTGTTCTTTTTTTCAAATTCGTTTTTGAATGGATTGATTTTCTTCTGGAGGGTGGGAGTCTTGAGGAATGAGGCAAAGATTTTCCTCAAAAAAATTTTGTTTACGATATTAAGGAAAAAGTAAAGGAAAAGAAACATTCTTACGATATAATTGGCTATATGATTGGTTAGACAATTTGGTAATCATTAAAATCTATTTGTAGTATATACTAAAGAAAAACTTTAAATTCAGTGCTTATATAAGCAACATTGAAAAGTTATGTCTTTTATGACGGCTTCCTATTGGAAACCAATTACCATAACCTTAAAGAATTATATGAATTTTTTCTAAATAAATAATACCATCTTATAGATGTTAAATATAACTTATATAAAAATTAATTTATATTATTTGAAAATATTTTAATATGTCATTTACCAAAATTTAGTAATGACCCAAATTTCTTCGCAGATACTTACTTATGAAAGCAAATGGTAAGTATAATTTACTCTCAATATCACAGATATTGTAACATGATGCTTTTGTAAACAGACCGAGCTCGTACGGTAAAGATTGTACTAAAAGTCAGAGATCTGATACTTCTCTGTAAAAACTTAGTAATAAGTGAGATTAATAAAAGCTTTATCATATAGCATTATTGAACCTAAAACTCGTGCTCGCCTTTTGCTGTAAAGAGTTCAATTTTTCTAACCATTCCCAAGAGGGTGACCTTGAAAGAGAACGTGAAGACTCAGCGCTTCAGTAGTTGTTCTAAATCTTTCTTAGCATGATTGCTGTTCATTATCTCATCAAAAAACTATATGTAGTCTTATTGATGGTCTTCCAACTAATGACGCTTATTGCTTGTGAATTTTTGAATGTCACTACCATCTTTTTGTTTCTGTCGTCAAAGCGTCTATTAAACTCTTATAATGTTTTTTTTTTATATAAAATTTCCATTGTTGATCACTGGCTTACTTGGATAAGCAATATGGTTTAAGTATTTTGGCAAATCGTACATTGCTGTATTTTTGTATATGAAAAGACACTTTGCATCTGAAAGACATTTAAATATAACAATACACATGAGTAGCTGTGATATGAAAATCAGTCAAACCAGATCAAAGCAATTTGGAATGCTGAAAAATATTTAGCTCAAAAGAATCATTCGTCAATCACAAAGCACATCACGAATTTATGTTTTTTGTTGTCAGTTAAAAAAACAATGACGTCTTGAAAATCTAAATATATTTTAAACTAAAAGGTTTTTTTCATGTACAAAGTAATTATATGTAGTGTAATAAATGTGATGTATTTTCAATAATTACATGCAGATGACTAAAACATCTGAGAATTTGGGCCTTTCTCACTTTCCAGACCATTTAAGGTTTTGTAAGCCATCCAAAATGAAGAAACGAAATGCAACTCAGTCTAAAAAACTTTTCTGTATAATTTTAATCTTAAATTGTCCCCATTAACAATTTCTTGAGAAATTGATTGTCATTACTGCCAATTAGAGCAAATACACTTGCATCACAGAGAAAAAATCTGGCTGCTAATTACATTGTGAAAAATTAAGCCATAATTTATATTAAATTCAACCCACTTGCACTATAATTCTTTCTATTATCTAGTTTTTAGATTGAAATCTTTGAAAAATTATTCATATTGAGACAATTAGTTCAAATGATGTCAAATAAATTTTGGGAAAATATTGGTGGGATTTATATCACGTGCATCATATGAAGCTATGAAAAAGACAAGTCAATTGGTCCACTTTAGTAGTTGCATACAATATATCTCTACCGCATACAATTTAAAATGCAAATAACATGAACATAATTGAGCTTATAACGCAACACAATAATTTTATAATCCTTAGTTTTGTTGAACAAGTGCATATCTTCTGAGATAGGAAATTTGTACGTGCATTTAACTGATGATCGCCGTAAGTTGTGAAACACTGTGCAGCAAATGTTTTATGTGAACAATATTTTGATATGATTTACTACACGGTGTTTCACGTCCAACAACGATCATCAGCTATCAATATCCACATTGATATTGAGCACTTTGTTACATTTTATACTCAGTTTTTTTCATATTGTTTATATGTATATATATATCAGAAAAATAGTTTTACTTTTGACGACGTGCATGGCAACTTCTGTAAGTAATAGACTCGTCAAACTTAACTAATACTTCATGTCTCAAAAAAACAAATGACAAGTACAGAAAGTGCATGGGCTCAATATGTTGCTAAAGTACGTTATTAACAGCTCGAACAAATTTTGTAGATGATTGATTGGCTCGTGAAAACTAAAACATGCTATGGTATTACTATCATGTGCTATTTGTTACTCCATTAAAAAGTGATGATCAGAGAGCACGAAAGGCTTATCAATGACAGTTAAGACTGATCATAATTATAAAAGATTTTGCATACTGTATCCAATTCCAATTGAAGTAGCTAGTTGTATAACTGAGATATATGTCTTTTGAGAAAATTTTTTTTTAGTGCATTTACATGTCATATATATATTAACAACACTTATATTTAAAGAAAAAGGAAACTTCTGGTACACATTACAATATTATTTGTCAGAAAATTAAATAATCAGCAAAATTAAAGCCTGTATTCTAATAGCTTGCTCACACTCTTACACCTTGAGTAAAGCCTCAAAATGTTTTCTTATTTATTGAAAGACTGCATTTACTTTCCACCGACTTTTTAGTTTCATATATTTTAGCAAAAATCATTGCTATGAATCGAAAATTAATCTTTATGATTAAAGAGTAAAAGTAAATTTAAAGTCGCACTCAGAGGAGGGTCAATGTGGGTGTGAGTATGCTTATACAATACGGGCATAAGTGTTCATGCTGGCGAAAATTCGACTGTGTAAGCTATTAGTGACATCATAAATTCATTTATGTCTTTCAAAATTAATGGTTTCCATATAGGAAACTGGTTCATCAAAGATGCAAATACAAAATGAGCTTGCTGTAGCTAAATCATTTTCATTTGCACTAAACCCATTAAATTTGAGACTGAAATTAGAAATTTCGAAACAATTGAGTTAGAATCATCAGTAACAATAATGTTTCAATTTTATGCTAGAAGATGTATATAAGAAATCGTTATTGCACGAGACGTGTTGTTCATATAGCTAATCACACAAACATATCGCTTTGTTATTTATCTGAGCAGGTGTCTTTTGTGTGAGATACGGAATTTCCCAATTCCTTTAGATCATACAACAAAGCCGCACTTTTCATTTCGGAGGAGGCAGAAAGTGTGTAGTACAAAAAAAGGCATAAGTTAGCGATTCTATGACATTTGATTTAAATATAGATTTTCAAATATTAGGATTATAATAACACTGTCTTTTAATGCAAAATTGATCATATCATTGAACTTGAGTAAAAAAGAGCAGAATCATTTAATTGCACGTATTTCAAGCAAGAATTTGAGTTTACAATTTTGGAATGATATCTATATTCAAACACAAAAAGATAAAATTTTACTATGTATAATATGCCTCAAACATGGGCGTCAATCCTGCGATAATCGGGGGTGACTATTTTTATACATTCAGTTATGCCAGGCTGATTTCTTTTGAAAATGAAAGTTTTTTGAAAAGAAAATAGCCAGTCATAGCAGAATATATGAATATGGTCCCCCCCAATTTAGACAGGATTTTCGCCAATGGCCTTAAAAGAAAAATAGGCTAAGTTAAAAGAATTCGTATGAGACTACGTTTTCGGTGATTTTTCGATAAAGTGCACTGAAGTACGTCATCTACAACTTATAAACTCATTTACGTCAAAATACTTGTAAGCAACTTTATATTTGTCACAAATTTGTTCACATGTGAAAAACCTTTAATTACTTGAAGCTTCATTGTTTTACTTTGCACATAAAAAGGATTAGGCTTTTCATCAAGATCATGAGCTAATAAATGGTTATTATTTCGTCAAAAGTGCTTGGATGAGTACAAATTTGAAAAGTAATTACTCATGAAGCAGTTAAGTGCTTACAATAAAGATATGTATATTACTGTACGTTATTCAAAAAAGCTGATCATTTTTGTTATGCAGAGCACTGTCACATGTTGTAAAACGATTATTATTTTCATCTTTACTAATTCCCCTCTACATAAAGGAAAAATATCCTGTTGCTTTTAATTTTCACTTTGCGTGAATTGATAGCAGAAGCAAAATTCTTTTGTAAAATACTGTTCTCATGGAAATCTACTGCTATATGAATTTATCTTCCTGTTTTTAACACGTTTGAAGGATTTTCATCTATAGTTTTATAAAAGCTATATTAATTCTCTACATGTGTTTATGTTATCCAATATGAATATTTAAAGTTTTTGAGTATTATATGTATATTCATTTTACTATAAAAAAAGATACACATAACAACTTATAAGGTTAGGTCTTCTCAAGAAAGTTTTTTTCTCACTTTTCTGATATGCAATGTGTCTAGTTTGGTATAATTGACTATATTAATAGAAGACTTTTGGCTTTTTGTCTGTCTTGTTTTCACTTTAACTGTTATCGTATATGTCGAGATATTTTGTGGCAAGAAAACCGTTCTAAAACATGGTGTAAAGCTTATAACGCTTTTATAACCTGCAGAAAATACTCCAGTTTGGCAGCAAACCAAAAATGATAACACGATTATACCACAGTTATTTAAGCCTCTAAATATAAAGATCTAATAACATAAAATTTCTAAATTCATCAAATTTTCATTACTTAAAAACCGTAGGAAGTTGTAGAAATGCGAGTGTTCATCAGTTTTACAAAGCACGTTGCTTTAAACGAAATTTTACATTTTTACACCGAGAAAAAACTTCAGTAGCAGGTGATATTTTTTAAGAGTTATAGCAATTTAAAGTCCATTAAAAAGTGCTTTGCTAAGTATGTGGAAGGCTTATCATTTAACTGTTATCATTGATTTTTATTACCAGATATTTTCGATATTGCTGCACAAACCTAGTGATTGATCATTTTGCAAATACAATGCATTTTCACTTACTGTATAAAATAATCAAATTTATGATTAGATGAAATATCTACTGAGTGATCTTTCATTTACGTATTCAATCGTTCGAACACAAAGGAATACGAAATTTTATATGCAGCAGAAAGAGCAATTGCTAAAGAACACTGACCCTCATTGACAAACTGCTTACAAGAAAATGACGAATTTCTCATTAAATGTGTTCACTCAATTTTGCCTCAATGAAGAAGAGGTGTTTACTTTTCGTTCAGATGTTTCCAGCATTGGGATGTATGTGAAATATACAACTGCATTTTTGATGCTACTCATAATTACGATGCTTACATTTTTTCTTAACCTCACCGCCATCTTAACATTTCTGTCATCAAATCGTCTGAAAAATTCCGTGTGTTATTTTCTTATATTCCTCCAATCCATTGTGGACCTCATTTTTGGAACATTGACTATGATGCTAACTTTTTGGCTAAACTTTCGATCTTTTTTCATGTTAGATTTCAACTGCACGTTGTTCCACGTTGAGCGGATGGTTCTCTATGTACATATTGGCTCCTCTGTGTCTGTGTTATCTTGTATGAATATCGAAAGATTTTTGGGCATCGTATATCCAATGCACCATTGTACTGAAGTGACAAAATCTAGGTTAACAGCTTATGTGTTTACAGGTATTTTTCTCTCTTTCTTGTTGTGCACGATTGCAAACTTAATTGAATCGACGTCAAGGTTACGAGAGGTTTTTGCTTGTGTTTGTCTCTTGCATTTTATTGGAACTGTTATAACATATGTCAAGATTTATTTTGTGGGAAGGAAATCGCTTTCACGAAAAAGTGGTTTAAAGCGTGGACGCCATAAAATAACCACCATGATTGACAAGCGTCAGAGTTTCACTAATAAATCATGTACGTCAAAAAGATATACAAAGGAAAATTCATCTCAACCAAAAAAAACAATCATCAAATGCAAAAAAGCAGATGAAAATTTTGCAATGAAGAGGAGGCATGCAGTAGTTGACGTAGAAGGAACAAAAAAGTCGGAAGACTTTGAAGATAAAGGTCTCTCATATCAGTCTGATTCTTCACGTACAAGTAAAACAAGGTCAAGTTCAAAACGCCAGGAGGATGAACGACCTAACAGAGTTTGCAAACTTTTTCAACGAAAGAATTGTGAGATGAATGGACATGAACTGATTCAAAACTATACGTCGCATGTTGAAAAATGCGCACGGAAGAATTTATTGCACAACATAAAATTAGCAAACTCATGTCGGTTAGTCGTTATATTTTCCTTAATGACCTTCGCAATACCTCCTATAATCATAGGAGTTCAGCCGATATACTTAGCTCAACATTATAAAGAAGTGACCTTTTTGTGTACAATATTCTATTTTTCAAATTCCTTCGTGAATTGTACAATTTTCTTCTGGAGGATAGCAATCTTGAGAAATGAGGCCAAAGTTTTTTTCAAAAGACTATGGCTTACATTATCAAACAAAAATTGAAAAACCTGAATTTGTTTGTAACGTTAATTATTATGTGTGTGTTGCAATAAACTAGGCCAGAAATTATATTAAAAAATCTGAAAACTGGTGTGTTCTAGTGTTAGTCTAAATTCTTCATATTCGACGTTTATTTAGTTTGTGTTAAAAAAGGTAATGCGACTCCCTCCTAAAGTACTAGATGAGTGACCGAAAATTATAGATATCACTACACAACATTGTTTTAGCTTTCGAATGTCAACATATGCACGAAAATTGAGAAAATGTGAGCTTACTAGAAAATTGAAGAAACGTTTGCACCTGCATGTCCATAATTTTATGTTAACAGAAAGTATCATAGCTAATAAATTCACTTGCATTCCAGCATATGATCATTAATTCCCTTCTTTAAAGCTCCTCTAAATAAACAAAATTTGCCAATGACGATTGCGTATTTTAACACATTAGACACAGAAGAAAATGGGAAGTACGGAGTTGTTAAAAAAGTAAGGACATATGAGTCTACGGACATGATGGACTCTACTGTTGGGGCGACAGGTGAGTAGGCATGCAGGTCTATCTGCGAGAGTGGGACCTCATGTGTGAATGTAGGCCAATTTGTTATGCACACGAACGTCCGCAAACCCTGCAGGGGTACAAGACAAGAGGGGCAGAGCGTTGCTTCCTTCGGGCCCTCTTCTCCTTGATGGCGGCTGCTCTACCGGCTTCGAATTTCCGAACGCCCTGGGAGCATAGACGCCTCCACTGCAGTCTGTCTCCCGCCAACTCCTCCCAGGTGTTTGGGTCTATGTTGCAGCTCTTGATGTTGGCTTTAAGGGTGTCTTTGTATCTCTTCAGCGGTCTTCCTTGGACACGGCTCCCGTCTTGTAGTTGACCATTCGGCAGGTGGTGGCTCGTTAACCCAGGAAGGTAGCCCACCTAGGGGAAGGAAAACCCTGACTCCAAACCTCCGCTTCCTTGCGGTGTACTCGGTCACGGGAAAGGCTAGGAGACGGATACTCCGAAGAAGAAAGCTGCACCTCGGCGTCAGTAGGCGAGCATTCGGCGTCAGTAGGCGAGAGGGTGGATACGGGCATGCACATCCCCTCTTCACCTAAAACATTCACCTGTGCTGGTCAGGCAAGCTGGTTTGCCGGAATCAATTTATGCAACCATCCCTTTTTTGCACCAGCTATCTCAAGTCCTGTGGCGATGGAGAAATGGTGACGGGAAAAGGCAGAGGATGCTGCTGGAAGTTCTTAGCCATGACTCTGCACGCAGGCGGCTGCGAATTGATGGTCGTCCGCCATAAACCTAGGGCAGATACGGCGCCCGTATCCTCTCGCAGTGACAGAGCAGCCCTCTTTTGGGTTAGCACTGCTCTCCCCACATGGGGAAGGGGAGATAAAAGGATCCCTAAACAAAGACTGCCCTACTTGCACCTGGCAGGAACCGCACCTGCCTGGGCATCCAACTAAGCGGTCGTACAACTAAGGATAACAAAATAAGAAAGCGCTTAACCATTGGGGCATGGAACGTGAGAACGCTGTTGGATAGAGGAGACAGACCAGAGCGACGCACTGCTCTAATAGCAAGGATGCTTGGACAATACCAGGTGGACATAGCCGCATTGAGTGAGACCAGACTTGCAGATGAAACTCAACTGGAAGAGATCGGTGGTGGCTACACCTTCTACTGCATTGGGAAACCTGAAAACGCCCCAAGACACTCAGGCGTGGGATTTGCCATACGCACTCAGCTCGCAAGGCGACTAGTCAGCTTGCCACAGGGCATCAGCGATCGCCTCATGACCCTAAGGCTGAAACTCCAGAAAGACTGCAACGCAACAATTGTCAGCGCCTACGCCCCTACAATGACAAACCCAGATGAAGTGAAGGTAGACTTCTACGAAGAGCTCAACCAGCTACTCTCCAGTGTTGACCGCAGAGACAAATTCATCATCCTTGGAGGCTTTAACGCACGAGTTGGAGTAGACTACACCATCTTGCCAAACATCCTGGATCGCCATGGAACTGGCAAGTGCAACTCCAATAGCCTGATGCTACTATCCCTGTGCGCACAGCACGAGCTAACCATCACTAACACTCTCTTTCAACAAGCTGACAAGCTGAAGAACACATGGATACACCCTCGCTCCAAACAGTGGCACATGCTGGACCACGTATTCGTCCGCCAGAGGGACCGCAGAAGCGTGCACATCACACGCTGCATGCGCGGTGCCGACTATTGGTCTGATCACCACCTGCTACGGAGCAAGATGAACATCCAGCTCGCCAGAAAGAACAAATCAGCAAGAGAGAAGCCACTTAGGAAGTTGAATGTAGCTCGCATTCCACCCAACAAAGAAGAGCTGCAAGAGAAGCTAGAGGTAGCCCTGGGAAACATTAATATCACGGGCGAGGATATAGAGGAAGACTGGAGCACTTTCAAAGAAGCCGTCTACAACTCTGCAGCGAGTATCCTTGGATACGTGGAGAAAACATCGAGACTGGTTTGACGAGAATGACGCTGAGATCAACAGGCTTATTGACAGGCTCCATAAGGCTCACAGTGACCTTATAGGAGACAAAGCTTGCGAAAAGAAGAAGCAAGACTACCAGCAAGTGAGGCAGCATGTGCAACACTGCGGGAAATGAAGAACGCCTGGTGGGAAAAGAAAGCCGAAGAAATCCAAGTGGCAGCTGATGCTCACGACTCAAAAAAGCTCCACGATGGGCATTGCACGGTGTACAGTCCAAAATCGGCAGGCTCTACCCCCATCAGGTCTGCAGACCGAACGAAACTGCTAAAAGACAAAGCTGACATACTTTCCCGCTGGACTGAACACTTCAACAAGCTGCTGAATAGAGTGTCACAGATGAACGAAGAAGCCATTGAGTCCCTCCCCCAGCTGCCAATCAAAGAGGGAATTGCCGACCCACCCACCAGAGACAAGGTTGCAAAAGCCCTCAACAGACAAGGTCTGGAAAGGCTGCTGGGGCGATAGCATTCCAGCTGACGTCTACAAGAACGGAGGCCAGGCACTCCTGGACAAACTGACATCCCTGTTCCAGGAGGTTTGGAAAGTTGTCAAGGTCCCCCAGGACTTCAAAGATGCTGCCGTCGTGCACATCTATAAGAGGAAAGGCGGAGACCTCATGTCACAACCATCGAGGCATACCCTTCCTCTGCATCGCAGGAAGGTTTTGGCCCGGGTAGTCCTCAACAGGCTAATCACAAATGTGTCCGAGGCCATCGTCCCTGAACCTCAGTGTGGTTTCCGGGCAGGCAGTGGAACTACTGACATGGTTTTCGCTATTTGCCAGTTGCAGGAAAAGTGCCGCGAGCAAAACAATGAACTCCACATGGTCTTCGTAGACCTAACTAAGGCATTCGACACCGTTAATCGGGAAGGCCTTTGGAGGATCCTGGGAAAATTTGGGTGTCCAAAGAAGCTAGTCTCTCTGGTAGCCTCCTTTCACGATTTCATGCAGGCAAGAGTCCAAGAAAGTGGGAGACATCTGACCCATTTTCTGTGAAGAACGGTGTGAATGAAGGTTGTGTTCTTTTCCTCTCTTCTCCATCCTGCTCGCAGCGATGCTGCTCGACGCCTTCCGTGACTTCAACAATGGGGTGTACACTCAGTTCCGTACTGATGGAAAGATCTTCAACCTCAGAAGACTTCAGTCCAAGACCAAAGTCTACGAGGCACTCCTGCTTGAATTTCTCTTCGCAGATGACTGTGCACTATCCGCCCACTCCCATGAAGACATCCAGTGCATAACAGACCGCTTCGCAAATGCATGTGATCGCTTTGGGCTGACCATCAGCCTGCGCAAGACTGAGACTCTGGTCCATTTTCCACCATCCCAGACACATGACACCTCACCACCACCTCCTGTCATCATTAACCACACCAACATCAAGACTGCTGACAAGTTCTGCTACCTTGGCAGCACCATCAGCAACAATGGTTCCCTGGACGCAGAGGTAACGCTGCGTATTGCAAAGGAAAGTGCTGCTTTCGGCAGACTAAAGAGAACACGGAATCAAGATCGTCACCAAAATTGCTGTGTACAGGGCTGTGGTCCTGAGTGTTCTGCTGTACTGCTGTGAAACCTGACCACTTATCGCAGGCACATACAACAGCTGGAGCAGTTCCACGAACGCTGCCTGAGAAAAATCCTCCGCATCAAGTGGCAGGACAAAGTGTCCAACCTTGAAGGCCTTGAAAGGTGTGGACTCCCCAGCATTGAGAGCTTGATCATCAAAGCTCAACTCCGATGGACAGGCCATGTCGTAAGTACATGGCCTTATTATGCTTATTTCTACTAAAAATCTGCATACCTTGAAAAATGTATATCATTTAAAATTCATTCAGAAGATTTCACAACACGAAAATTCTGTAGCTAGTTTTATAGTCTTTAAGCTAAGTAGGTTTCAGTCAACATGCCCGGGCTTTCGAAAGGCCCTAGGTATCTGCACTTAATTAGTTTTTACTTTTTGCTTATCAAAACTAGATTAAAGCTATTAATTTGGAACATTTATAGTGTTGAAAACTGAACGATTGATTAAATATTAAGGATATAAGGCTTTGACATATGTATTCATTGTTTAAATGCGCGACATTACAAATTCAGGAAGTAGTGTGTTTTCAAATTGCAAATTTGTCGATTAAAAGAAGAAAAGATAGTGACTTGTTTTTCTCTATTGTTTAGTTATAAAAGGTTTGAAGTTGATGTCTCTAAATTTTGCTATTGTATGAATTGGTATTTTTTCATTAAAAGAAGCTTGTGGAATACTGATATCAGAATAAAATAATACAACTATACAATCATGAATTTGTCTTCAAATTAATTTTCTCAATTCTGCCGGGTATTTGATGTTGTAATTCTCGCTCTTTCTTCCATTTCAAACGAGGAGGTGAAAATAAACCACATAGTTATAATCGTGTTACATCTATTTATTTTGTTCCTTACGCTTTTCTTTAATCTTACCGATATCTTGACATTTATGTCATCGAAGCGTCTGAGGAGTTGTCTTTGTTATTTTCTTATATTCCTCCAATCAGTTGTTGATGTTACTATTGGTACATCGGTTATTATATTAACCATTTTGCAAATCTTACCGGAATTTTCAATCTTAGATGTTGACTGTCGGGTAACTCATGTGTTCATTATTGGCTTATTTCTGTTCCTTGACTGTTCGGTTTCTGTGTTGTCCTGTATGAATATCGAAAGATATCTGGGCATCGTACATCCAATCTGTCATCCAACAAGAGTGACAAAAAATAAGTTAATGGACTATGTCTTTACAGGTTGTTTTATCTCTTTATTGATGTGCATATTTGCACATATAATCGAAGCAATTTCAATGATACAAACATTTTTCGTTTGTTTATCTATCTTGCATTTCCTTGGAACTGCTTGGGTGTATGTAAAGATTTATTATGTTGCAAGAGTATCACTTTCATAAGAATACAGTGCAAAGATCAGTGCAGAACATAAAACAACAGCAGCGATTATCTATGTAAAAGATTCAAGCAAAGAGGGATGTACGTCCAAACATTTAACCGACAATAATGAATCTTTAATGGAAAATCAAAGCAGTAAATTGAAAAATCGGAAGCATGGCCTACTGTAATTTGAGTAGGCCATGCTGGAAGATATTGCAAGGAAAATTAACCATAGAGCATTTGAAGTGGAAGTAAAAACTCAATGTGATGTGACTCGAAGTAAAAGTCTTCAATTTCAGCCCAGATCCAATATTCCAAGCTTAATACACGAAAAACATGGAAGAAGGAGTTGAGTTTGCAAATATTTTCAAAGAAGTAATAACAGGATGGTAGCGCATGTAACGATTCAAAATCCTTCGTTGCCAGTTAAAGCATATGCTCGCAAGTTATTACTTTATAACATGAAATTAGCCAACTCTTGCCGCTTGATCGTTATTTTTTCATTGATAAGTTTTGCTATACTTCTTATTTTATTAGGATTTCAACCGATTGATTTCGGTGTTTATTTCGTGGAAAAAAACGCTTGGTGTAGTGTGTTATATCTTTTAAACCTACTGTTGAATTATTTTATTTTCTTCTGGAGAGTGGCAATAGAATTTATTCATTCCAAAAGACAAATAAAAGTTTTTACTTCATACGAGTATTTCAAATTTGCTTTTTCTAAATTTATTGTTATTAACGTATTTTTATGAAAATGTAATATTTGTCTCGGCTTTGTTTAATCATCAACATGATGAAGACTATATTGTTTTAAGTGATT